GGGCTTTTGTATTTGCTGAATTTCCTATAATAATGTAACACCACGACAAAGATTTAAGTACATACTTATTTCAAATATTTAAGTGTATACATTTAAATCACCTGCATCACTTCCAGCAATGCATATAAAGGTACATTAGAACTTACATATCCTACTCAAGAAAAAAGAAAAACAACATATTTTCCTGAAAATTAAAATGCTGGACTGTTATCAATGACTATTAAGTTGTCTTTAGACTGCCTGGATGAATAGACTGCTTGCAGGAAGTTCTTATTTAATCAGAATACAAAAGACTTGTCCTGGCAGTGCTTTACAAGAAAAAGAGAGGCTTTTGTGTCATAAAGAACACTTCCACCTCCCCATCATTTTATAAATGCAAAACCCCCCTCCACACAGACTGTTAAATGGCTTGGTCCAAGTCTGACCTTGAACAGCTATCCTCACAGAAGACCTTCAGAGCTCCATTCAGCCCGATAATCCTTCTATGGGGTATCTCCGTGGGTTGTAAATTTGGGCCTGCACTATAAAGGCTGTAATAATGGCACCCACTGGGGAAAAACATTTTTTTTTCTAACCCTAGAACCTGTTTCAAAAGAATCTCCCTTTTCCCTTTCTGGTGTGCTTGGCTATTCTCAAGACTAGAAAGGTCAGACCTTTTAGGGGAAGGAAACGGGGCCATTTTGTGTTCCCCGTGACTACACACCCACAGGTCTTCCCGAGTATCAGGATATCAGAAAAGTTTCTCAGAAAGTTAGTCAACAGTTTCTGGATGCTTGGCTCTATTTTCAGATTAGTTATTTTTTGACTCTCTTGCTTCCTGTAAAACACCTCTTGTCTGCTGAGCCAGGGTAGAAAGCCAGAGAGCTGCTGTGGAGACTGATTTATCTAACCTGGCCATCTCCACAAACCAAATAAGCATAATCATTGTCAAATCTCCCCTTCTCTTTGTACTGAGGAGTTCAGAAAGGCCTAATCCAATCCCTTGGGAGTTGTAACATGGGCCTGGTTTAAAAGCTCTTTTAACATCAGGCAGAGCATTAAGACAAAATGAAATCCTTTAAAGGCCAATGTGAACTTCATAAGATTTTTAAAAATGTTGGGGGGTGGGGCTACGAAACTCAGGAATGAGGAGTCAAGATCTGTACCAACAAAAAAAATGTTGGTAACACTCCTCTTAAAGAATGACATTTATTCAGTGTTTCCCTAGTGAAGTAAAGTAGCAACAGATCTGCTTTCTTTGATTTAACAAAAGAAAGAGGAGGAAAGAAGGGAGTGATTTAAAAAAAAAATCAGCAGTTCCCTGGGAATCTCAAATAGCAGAAATGGAAAAAGAATTTGCAAACAGCATGGTGCTTTTTGGAGTCATTCCTCGCTTTAGGAATATGACATCGATGAGTATTCTGTGCCTGGCATACAATACATTAAAAAAAAAGACATTCACTATTGTGCCATTCCTAAGAGTTAGGAATTTGCACACTGGTAAACATATATCACCTACATTAAAATCTAATGAAGAATGTTAAACTTACTGCATTAATGATCACATTCGACCAGTTAAAATAGGCAAAATTTCCTACCTAACTAAACTTACAGCTTTAAATAAACTAAATCATCCTACACTCACGTTGTTTGCCAAACTATAGGAGAAACTAGAAGTTACTTTTTTTCTCTCAGAAATATTGATCATAAAGCCTGAACCTCTTTTCAATCTTTCACTACCTAATATTTGTCCAAAGGTAATATCTAGATTAGAAAAATTCTTACCTTCATTCCCAAATATAGTTAGTTATTTTTCAACTATGCTGTACTGAAAGGTTTGTGAGGACACGGATTCTGCCTTTAATACGTATGGGGGTTTATCTCCAAGTGAAGGAGGTTGCATTTTTGCATATAGTGGACAATACTGCATTAGTAAGTTGACAGAATAATGAACATTTTACCTTCTAATCCATCCTACTATTTTGTTTCCAATTAGCAGACATAACCACTGAAGATTTTCAAGTGGAGACTATACAGAAAAGCAAATGTTCCCATTTGGACAGAGAGTGGCTTGCTCTATCCCCTGCTCTTCTTAGGAAATGTCTTTCCTGCATGATTAGTGAGTTTCTCTCTCCTTCTCCCACAAATTATTGGAAGATAATACTTATCTTATCACACTAAACCAAATACAGTGTGATAAAAAGGACCTGGTCGGATCTCAGATGCTAACCAATTCAGTAGTATTACCTTTCAAATCATAACTTCAGGAGCAAAACGGAAAATGGGGAAGGAGAACCCAGTTTGCTCTTGCAACTCTACTTCTGCCCTCCCCGAACTCACTGCAACAGATTGGGTTCAAATTCAATGAATATAAAAATATAACAATTATTCATGTTTAAGGATCAACAATGACTTTATGGAACAGCTTTTGTTAAAGTTCTTCTCTTTGCTTGTTAAATTGTTTCACTTTCCCCCCCTTTGCTCCCAGACAATGCCAGCATTGTGAATTCAAACCCATAAATGGACCACGCTCCTTAAGTGTACTACTCCTGTACCATCTCACAAGAAAAAAGAGGAAAAGACATTGACCTTTAGTGTGACATATTTCTATTTCTAGACGTATTTGAATCGTGGGATTAAAAGACAAATTTTTATTCTTCCCAGTTAAGGGAGTCTCTCTCCACATTTCAACATTACCTGGATTTAAGGCAGTCTGTAAATTTTCTAATCCATTAAAGGTTGTCAAAACTGTGCTTAATCATAATACCAGCATTCTGCATTACCCTAACCCTGCTATGACTTTATCCTTTACCCATAATCTCCATCTCCATAAATATTACGTTTGCTGAGGATAGGACTATACTAACCCAAAGGAGACCCGGTTCGCTGCCAACATAATATAAAAGGCGTGGTGTTTTATATTGTTTTATATCATTTGTTTCTTAGACTCATTTTTACCAAGTCAAATTTCAGTTGGTCCTCAAAATGTCTTTAGTCATTTAGATCATTGTAACTGATCATTAGAAAAACCTAAACAAATACATCAGACTTTCAATCAAAATTACCAGTAAGAGAAACTTTTGTACAACAGCAGGAACTTAATGCCTGCACAAGTAGAGGCACTATTGCAAAATGTTTAGAATAGATTCTTACTATGACCTCTGAGAGAGAACAAAAGAGAATGCCCTGCCACAGAGGCAGGGTGGGATGGGGGGACAGGGGTGGGAGGGATGCTGGGACCCGTGGTGGTGGAGGATGGGCACTGGTGGAGGGATGGGTACTTGATCACTATATAACTGAAACCCAAGCACAAAAATTTGTAAGTCTATAACTGTACCTCATGGTGTTTCACTAATAAAAAAAAAAGAAAAAAAAAGAAAAGCATTCATCAGAAAAAAAAATGACCTCTGAAACAGAACAATGTATAATGATCGTCACAATGCTTTTAATTGCCTCTCCTTTCTGAATTTCAGGATATTGTTTCAAGATCATCCCTGAGCATAATAGATAACGGTTGCCACGTCCATAGTGCCTAAGTCAGTGTGGGTAATAATTGCTATAGCCTAGAGCATTTTAGGAGGCCTGTGACCACAACCCCAGGATATCCCAAGGGGCCACAGGTGAAAATTGTGTAAGCGTGTGGTAGCACAAGACTTGAGGGCAGCTGGACAGATGACCAAGTGTAGTTGGCAAAAAGGTTGACAAACACTGTCATAGAGGGTAGTGGATCACAATATACTGTGATTGTTAGGTTGTTTCTTATTTATCAGTGATCATTCAATCTTTGAACTCTGACGTTCTCTGTTTCCTGGCACATGACGTTGCCTGCTTTGAAAACTATTGCGTGCTTTTTAAGAAACATAATCTGTATTACTATAATTAGAATAAAGAGTATGTTTGTCTTCACCGTGTCCCTAAAAAAGAGGTGGCGGTGGCAATAACTGGGGACTAACCCATTGCCAGACCATTAGAGTCCCGGGATGGTTTTAGTTAAAATAGTTAAAAATTTAAAGTCCGTTGGAATTGTAACGTACACGTCTTTATTTTTATACAATGATTTCAGTGATGTCGGAGTCACTTTCCGGCTCGCTTTCAGCTTTTCTCTTCCTTCTGATAGTCCCTTATCTCCCTGGAGAGGTCACTCTCAAGTCGGGTAAAGTCTGACTTGGAATCGAACACAATTATCCCCGAGCATCGCGATATAAAATTCCAACAGATACGGCTTCTAATCAGTCGCGGAGAGGGGGGACCACGGAAGAGCAGCGGCGAGGCCCCGTGTCTTTGGCTCCCGTCACCCATCTCCCAGGTCGGCCTAATCAAGTCTGTCTCCTAGAATTTGAATCCTGCTCGGATTCAAAGAGCCGCACCGCCGTGGTCTAGTGGCTAGTCCCTGGCCCCCTCTCTGAACCTCGCATCCAAAGCGTTCTCCCTCCTTGCCCCCGTTTGATGTGCAAATGTCCTTCTCTTTGCACTTTCCTCCCCTCCCTCATGGTTGGGGAGGTCGAGGGGGTGCAGTGAAAAGCATTCAAAGCCAAGAACCTCACCCCGAACGTGCCCACAGGGAACCTGCAGGGTTGATCAGCAGCTCGCCGGGGGGCTCGGTTGGGCGGGGGGGTCCCTCCGGGTCTGGAATGCATGCGAGACGCGAGGGCTGGCAGGAGGGAGAAGTGGGGCGGCGGGGGGGTCTCTTGCAGAGAGCGCCCTGATCGCAGCGTGATCGCACCCTGGCCGCACCCCTATCGCACCCTGGTCCCACCCTGGTCCCGCTCCCGGAGCCCCCGCGACCCAGTCCCCGCGGCGCGGCCGCTCGGCTCGGGGTCGCCTCACCTGGGCGGGGGGCGCGGCCCGCGGGTCCCCGGAGGGCGGAGAAGAGTGTCCGGGCCGCGCGGGCCCCGCCCCCGCCCGAGGTCCCGCCCGCCCGCGCCCCTCCCGCCGGCCGCTATAAGGCGCGGCCCCCGGCGCCGGGGCCCCGCGACCCGCCGGCGCAGCGCAGCGCAGCGACGCTCGGGGCTGGAGGCCGCCCAGGGGCCCCGCGACCCGCCCCCGCCAGGCGCCGCGACGCTCCCGGGCTCGAGGCCGGCCGGGCCCCGCGCCCCGCACCGCGAGATGCCGGCCCCGCGCGCCCTGGGGGCCGCCCGCCTGCTGGCCCTGGCGGCCGCCCTGTGCGCGCCCGCCCTGGGCCGCGCGCGCGCCGCCGCGACTCCCGCGCTCGGAAGCCCCAACGCCATCAAGAACCTGCCCCCGCCGCTGGGCGGCGCCGCGGGACGGCCGGGCCCGGCCAGCGCCGCCCCCGGGGCCCCGCACGCGGCCGCCAACAAGTACCAGCCCGGGGAGCAGCAGCAGGTGAGCGCGGCGCGGGCGCGGGCTCGGGCGCGACGGGCCGGGGGCGCGGGGGCGCGGGGGCGCGCGGGCGGCCCCGCGTCGGGGCGGGGTGGGGGCTGCCGGGGTGCGCGCGGGTGCCTCAGCTGCCCCCGGCTCCCCCCGCAGCCCTACCCGTGCGCCGAGGACGAGGAGTGTGGCCTGGACGAGTTCTGCGGGGTCCCCACCCGGGCCCTGGGTTCGGGAGCGCAGGTCTGCCTGGCCTGCAGGAAGCGCCGCAAACGCTGCATGCGGCATGCCATGTGCTGCCCGGGCAACTACTGCAAGAACGGTGAGTCCGCGAGGCTGGCATCTGGCTCGCGCCGCCGGCCCGCCTTGCCTTTGCCTTTGCCTTTGCCTTTGCCTTTGCCTTTGCCTTTGCCTTTGCCTTTGCCTTTCCCCTTTTCCTTTTCCTTTTCCTTTTCCTTTTCCTTTTCCTTTCTTTCCTTTTCTTTCCGGCACTCCCACGCGGAGGAGCAAAGGCCCAGTGCTCGCCAGAACTTGCGGCCTCAGCTGGAAGTGGGTGCTTCGAAAGTTCGGCTCCCCTCGGAGGAGAGACGGCCTCGCGGGCCTTGGAACCCCTGACTCTCCTCTTCGGGGCGCCAAGTCACCGAATACCACTGCTCACGTCCAGGTTGACTCCTCTTGTGAGAGTGTGGTCAGTCGAGAGATGAGCTGCGGAGAGAAGTGGGCTTCCACGCAGGCCACTGAGCACAGCTTGGCCGTTTAGCCCCCCCTTTCCCATAGCTTCCTTTGAGGCCGTCGCAAGTCTCTGCCTCGAGATACCTAGGAAGGTTTATCGGCCAGAAGGTGCTTCTTAACCGTGCTGGCCTGGCTAATGGTACAGCTCGGTCCCTCGCACCCTGACCTCTCCATCTCCCCCTCTGCCCCGCCCCCTGCCCTCTTCAAATAAGTCCTTCTCTCTCCAACCGCGGGTGCACTAAAATTTAATGTCTCAAAGAGGCAGTCTCAGGCAGCCAAAAGAAGGCTCCAGAAATAAACTTAAGGGTGGCGACCCTCTGTAAGACACAGTAATCCTCCAGGATAAACGAAATCTCTGTAATATAGAAATTATATGCTCAACGAACCGGTCGGGGAGATTGTAGCCAGGGAGCTAGTACTGCATTTGCTGTAACTTGTTCTGGCAGCAGCCATAGAGCACCAAGAGCAGCGTTCATTTATAAAAGGAAACCATGCAGCTGCTTTCATATTTCTTACCCCCAAGGGTGCTATTAGAATGGAAAAGAAGTCTTACTGCCTTTTCCACTCATGGGAGGAAAGTATTTTAAATGACTCTACTGGGGCTCTTATGTGTATATTTGATGGTTCTGTCCACTTGAAGAGTTTTCCATTAACAGGAGAGAGGAAATTTAGCTTGTGCAGTGTGGATGCAGTGAGGTGGTATTTCACATTGGTACAGCAATAACTGACAGCCACTGTCACAGCAGTTAGCAATAATGTCCGTATTACAACCTGGGAATTAATCCTCTCCTGCTTCCATAGGAATATGCATGCCTTCCGATAGCACTCATTTAAATCAAGGAGAAATTGAGGAAACCATTATTGAAAGTGTCGGTAACGATCATAGCACTGTGGATGGGTACTCTAGAAGAACAACATTGTCTTCGAAAATGTATCATACCAAAGGTAAGTTAAAGGACTTTACACTCAGCACAGTCGAGGTGTCTCTTGGATTATTTTAAAGAAATGATGCAAGTTTAGCAGTGAACATGTACTATTTCTGTTGTCTCCTTCCCAGGGCAAGAAGGCTCTGTCTGTCTCCGATCATCAGACTGTGCCATGGGGCTGTGTTGTGCTAGGCACTTCTGGTCCAAGATCTGTAAACCTGTCCTCAAAGAAGGTCAAGTCTGCACCAAACACAGGCGAAAAGGCTCTCATGGACTAGAAATCTTCCAGCGCTGTTACTGCGGAGAAGGGCTGTCTTGTCGGTTGCAGAAAGATCATCAAACCAGCAATTCTTCTAGGCTTCATACCTGCCAGAGACACTAAGCCAATTTTGGGAATACAGTGGACTCATTTAATATAATATATGCTACGAACCCCCTCTGATTTCTGTTCAGCTCAATCTTTAAGAATGTATAAATTCTGTGGTTACAATTAAGCATTCCAATAATACCTTCTGGAAATCTGGAGTGTAAGAGCTTCGTTTCTTTATGGAACTCCCCTGTCATTGATTGCAGTAAATTACTGTGTTGTAAATTCTTAGTGTGGCACTTACCTGTAAATGCAACAAAACTTTTATTTTTTCTAAAGGTGCTGCATTGCCTGTTTCTCTCGTGATGTAAATTTTTGTACACACTGATTGTAATCTTGATTCTGATAAATATTCTATATTGAATTGAAGTAAATAATTTCAGCTTATGTTTCCTAAATCCCTAATCCTTTTCCCTTTTAAAGAGTTTAGAATGCAAAGAGCTTCTGGAATGACAAATGATAGTTATCTAAAATCTATCAAAAAATACTAATTTTCTAAAATGAGCTCTCTCAGTGCTTAGATTATATTTGTCTCTAGACTGTGATAATCCTTGAAATAAAGTTTAACATTTAACATCGGGAAATGTTTTGAGTATAGATAAGTTTTGGCATTTTGATCTTAAGTTGTATGTTCTACAGGACAAAATATATCTTTAAAGATGATCAGAGAAAAATATTGTCTAAATGTAAAGTGATATTGATCAATTTTAGAGGAATTTTAAATAAAAATGTGATTTCTGTTGACAAACTCAAATGATCATGTATGAGACTGAATCCTAAACTACTTTCATAAATTATTTATAAATGATATCTACCCAAATAGGAACAAAGGTAGTGCTACCAGAAATTTTTGTTTTTGTTTTTGGGGCCACACTTGGCAGTGCTCAAGGCTTACTCCTGGTTCCATGCTCAGGAGACACCTTTGGCAGGGCTCAAGGGATCATGTGGGATGCCAGGCATGAAATCTCGGTCAGCTGCATGTTATAATATCATTCTGGCTCCCAGTAGAATTTGAAAGAAGAATATATGGGTATGTGCACGTGGGAGTTGAAAACACAGACATTTTTATATCCAATAAGTTAATTTCAAGTGCCAGTACTATTTTGTGCCAGGAAGATTCTCAAGCATATTCATTTAAAAAGAGTGGAATTACAAAACTGAAATCACCTCTCACTCCACTATGGTATTCTATTCATTTGTGACGTGACTATCTAAATCTGTTGATTGAAATGAGGATAGGTATATATCGCTAAAATGAAAGCCCTTAGAAATGAAACATAAATGAGATTTTTCTTAGTAAATTGGAGATTGGCAGAAACTCTGGGGAAGGGGAAAGCAGTGGTCCCAATTTGCGCTTCATCTAAAATAGTTTCACAATCTACATCAAAGCCGCAAAGCCGCAAAATTCAGGGCTCAAAGCACAATAACTGATCAATCATCCAGGACCTTTCCCTGAATATCACAAATGTCATAGAATTTTTTTTTTAATTCCTGGAAGTGGCTTAGTTTCTAGGGGCGCAGCCAACGGGACACCAGCATTGACTCTTCACTGAGAAGGGTCTGGCAGGATGTCTGTTGTCACATTCCTTTTGTCTGGAAGTTTCAGCTTCCTTGCCCTGGAGAAACTCTTTTTCTACAAGTGCTGGTTTTCTAAAGTGCCAGGGAAGGCCAGTTCCGAGACCTGCCATCTCCAATAAAGCACAATAGAAGAAACAGGAAACTCTTTCTTCAGACGGAAGACAGAAGGGCCTCTTTTTAAGAGGGGAAAGGAGCAAATGTTTAAAGGGCCTGGGTTATGGGATGCCTTCCTTTTTGCAGGAACTGATGGGCCAGAGACTAACTCCTCGCCTCTCAGACCATCCATCCCTGTTCTGGCCTTGTATCCCCATCACACAGTGCCACGGGAGAGTGAGAGAGGCACCTCTTCCTCTCCGTTTTCGTTAAAAAAGTGAATCTTACATGTTTATAAAAAGAAAATATCAAGAAGGTTATCGATTAGCTAGTTATAGAGACTCAACATTGAAATCAGATACATTGTATATTCATAAGAGAATAAGTGACGGAATCTCATATATTAGACAGTATCTGCTGAAAATGTGTATAGTTTTACTCTCTAAGCAAATTTAAGGTGAGATGACATAGGAAAGCATCCATATTTCTCAAATGCTCACATTTATCCTCTAACCTTATTTTTTTCTCCCCTTCTTTTTTTTTTAATATATATTGTGTGTCTTAGAGCTCATTCTATGGAATATAAGGTGTTCTGTCTCATTTTTTTAAATTGCTGCACTGTGTATATTCTATTGGAGCAGCTCTACTATAATTTTAGAAAATTGTTGAAAGAATCTAGGTTGTTAGGTTTTGCTACATGATACAAGTAGCACCATACCACTGTCCTCCCGTTGTTCATCGATTTGCTCGACAGGGCACCAGTAGCATCTCACAACAGATTGTGAGACTTGTTACTGTGTTTGGCATATCAAATACGTCTCAGATAGCTTGCCAAGCTTTGCCGTGCAGGTGAGATATTCTCGGTAGCTTGCCGGGCTCTCCGAGAGGTTCAGAGGTATGTGCAAGGCAAATGACTTACCCGCTGTGCTATTGCTCCAGCTATATGATACAAGTATACAATTTTTATATTGTTATGCTGGCAAAGTTGTAGAATAAAATAATTACTGATTTTTGAAGCAAAAAGCAAACACTAAGAGACAGTTTCTGTAGATATTCATAGGGGGTGGCATGGGCAAAATGTCAAGATGCCTGACTATTACTGAGTGATTATTAAACTGTTGCTAAATTGTATCACAGGAGGAAAAGGGAAATATAGGCTTATCCTGACAATTTCATAGTAAGTAAACAGTAATCGCTGGCATTCAGTTAAAGGTAGACTTACTGTAATTCTTTTGATTTAAAAATAATTATTAAAGTCATATTTCCCTATCCCTCTTTCTTTCTTGGCTAAAAGAAAAATATTTTAAGATTGATGTTTAGTCTAAAATCTATTGATTAAAATGATGGAATTATGATTAAAACCACAGATATGTGGCATAAATATGATCCTTCATATTTTAATATATCAAAACACTGATTTTTTCCCTGATAATTAAATTGTATTAGTTCAATTGTGAAGTTAGTAACAATAGTTACACATTTTATCAGCGTCTCTGTATTTGGTTGCATTAACACTCAACCATGGGCTGGAGCGATATCACAGCGGTAGGGCATTTGCCTTGAGCACAGCCGCCCTGCCCAGCCGGGTTCGATTCCTCCGCCCCTCTCAGAGAGACCGGCAAGCTACCGAGAGTATCTCGCCCACACGGCAAAGCCTGGCAAGCTACCTGTGATGTATTCAATATGCCAAACACAGTAACAACAAGTCTCACGACGGAGACATTGCTGGGCACACTAGAGCAAATCAATGAACAATGGGAGGACAGTGACCGTGAATACTCAACCATCTACTACTTATACAAATTTCATGTAAATTAAAATAAATGTTTCAACTCTTATGGTCTTTCATGGTCTTAAAAATAATGCTATAATTATATTTATAAAAATGTTTCAATTAGTTGTATATTAAAATTTTTATACATTTAAAATACTACTTTGTAAATAGTACCTTAAGTATATTATTTATAACCACATTAAAATAGCAGAAAATAAAGGTCTGGAGAGATAGCACAGCGGACAGGGCGTTTGCATTGCAAATGGCCCCCCAGGTTCAATTCCCAGCATCCTATATGGTCTCCTGAGCACCACCAGGAGTAACTCCTGAGGGCAGAGCCAGGAGTAATCCCTGTGCATCGCCGGGCGTGACACCAAAAAGCAAAATAAATAAATAAATTAAGATAGCAAAAATTATCTTCATAATTCACCCGTGTGTACCTGTGTGGGACTTTATGTTTTCCCTAATGACAATGGCATAGAAGTAATCAAATCACTAATCTGAGAGTTCAATCTGGGTAATGCTAGAGCAATTCAGCCAACATTTATTGAGCCTGATGTGCTCAGTTGTCACTATGCTGGCATTAAGCAGATACATACAATATGCTCTCTTACATCAAGAAGCTCTCCATTTAGAAAGGGACCCGCCCCAAACAACTATTAGTGCTGCAGGTTGGTTTAGTATAATGGTTAGAAGTAGTCCCTAGACTCAAATGAGGTGGAACCAGAGCTCCCTCAGTTTTTGAAGGCATGAGCAAAGAAAATTACCTCAATAATAATATGGAGAGTATTAAAAGTGTAGGAGTGAATAAAGCAGGCATTACACTGATATTAAGCATTATGTCTATCTCATAATAAACTCAGTTTAGATCTTTACTAAGAGGGCAATAAAACACTATATGATATTGTATTATAAATATTGTTTGGAAGATTTAAAAGTAACGAAATCTGCCTGGAGATGCTCAGAAATATTTTAGAGAAGCTGTGTTACTTAAATAATTTTTTCAAGCCTCTATCATAATAAGGAATAGAAATCAATGACATCAGAAAGAGGAAAAGAGGAGACACAATTTTTGTCTATAGTTGGAGCAATCGTGCAGCAGATAGGACACTTGCTTTGCATGTGACTGAACCTGGTTCAGTTTTCGGCTTCCCAGATGGCGCCCCAAGTCCCACCAGGAGTGACTCCTTATTGCAGATCCAGGAGTAAGTTCTGAGCAATTCTGGGTTTGACGCAAAAATCAAAGGCATAAAAAATGTAAAAAGGAATACTCTATCAGGTAAAAACACTTAATCACTTAACTTCCCGTTAGTCATCGATTTGCTCGAGCGGGCGCCAGTAACGTCTCCATTTGTCCCTGTCGCGTGCTAGTGTAGCCCAATGGCATCTGTTCGCTCTGGGAACATGAAGAGTCTCAAACCAATCATTCATGATCTTGACGAAGAAGTCTGACCATCTGGTAGGTGGGCGGCCACGCAGTCTTTTGACATCCCGTGGAATCCAGTCAGTAACAGCTCTAGTCCAGCGGTCATCTTTAAATCTCATTACCTGACCAGCCCATCTGATTTTTGACACCTTGGCAAATGAAACAGCATCCCTGATTCTTGATCGTCGATGGATGTCAGAACTCCAGATTCTTTCTCTCATTTGAGTGAAACGTGATATTCCAAGCATAGCTCTTTCTATTCTTCTTTGGGAGACCTGAATAGAGTTCTCATCCTGTTTGCGTAGGGCCCAGGTCTCTGAGGCATATGTTAATGCAGGAAGAACAGTGGAATCAAAGAGATGTGCCCGGAGCCGAAGGTTCTTCATCCTCTTAGCTATTTCTTCGACGTTCTTGAAGGCGTTTCAAGCCGCTCTCTTCCTCCTGCGCAGCTCGGGTGCCAGGTCATTTGTCATGTTGACCTCTCGACCTAGGTACACATAGCTGTTGCATTCGGAGATGGTCGTTCTGTTGAGAGCGAATGGGGCATCAGGAACGAGGCTATTTCTCATAAACATTGTCTTCGTAAGATTCAGCTGTAGTCCTACCTTTCCACACTCACGGTCAAAGTTGGCCAGCAT